ACCCTCAGCTTCCTCTCCAATGGAGGAGCCTTGCAGCCTCTGACTATGTCAGGCGTCACCTGACACCCTATGCTATGGTCTGGGGTGTAGCTTGAAATCCCCATTGTCAAAGACCAGCTTTGACACCACAGGGTACACTGAGTCAGGGCATGGATCCATACTGGCTGATCACCCAGCAGACTTTCTCTGACGGTAAAAGGCTTAACTCTCTAGTCCAGAACTGATTGTTATTAACAGCAGTGTCCATTGATAGTGGTAAGCTGAGGGGCCAAAACTAATTGTTCTTGGTGTTGGGCCAGAGCTGGCAGTGTCCTGGCGGGGGCTTTCACCTGATTGTGGAAATCGGGGGCTAGAGCTGATGGCTCCACTGGGGGCTTCCACTGGTGGTCAGAAGCATCTAAAAAGAAAAGGAAAGGAGAGAAAAAGAACACACACACACACACACACACACACACACACACACTAACACTTGATGATGATGTGAGACAGACTCCAGCAGGTAGGTTCCTACAAGCTTCTCTGTCTTTATTTAGCTTCTCTTACTCTACACATACATATGTACATACATATACAGACAGACACATTCATACATTGGGTGTATGGAAAAGGATTTCAACCTCCTTTGTGTATGGACTAGGATTCTAACCCAAGCTGCTGCTGCTGTGCATATACACATATATACATAATGTACATTTGGTGGATGGAACAAATTCTGAAAATTGAGTTCCAACAACATTTATTATATCTTCTACAGCTTATATATCCCAGCAAGATCTTTCAAGCAGTACAAAAATCACAATGTGGTTACATTTAAATGAACAATAACAATGAGTATACATAAGAAAAATATGTTCCCCAATATCCTTACATGATCAAGTATTTTATGTATCATGGGAGAGAAACAAATTATTTCCAAAAACTCATATACATTTCTAACTAAGACACTTATTATAGATCAACAAAGTGTGTGTGAGCAAGCCAGGTAACTTCTCAGCCAGCTTTTTCTTTACCAGTAGGCTGCAATTTGTGGTTACAAAGAAAGACTCAATTATCTTAAAAGGTAATCTTATAAGAACCTTAAAAGAATCACAAACCTAAACTTTTATATTAAAAAAAATCAGGTATTTTTACTTTAAATCCTCAAGGTGCACATCTACTCATTAATAATTTTTATTAAACCATATCAGGAAGCTGAGGGCAAAATGGATATAAGAAATTAATCATCTTGAAGCCCAGGGTCAGTGAGAGAGTCACATCAGCTAGCTAGCTAGATATATGGTAGTCTCACTGTAAAAATAATCTAAGACCAGCAATATGGTACATACCAGTAATACAAGCACTCAAGAGGTCAAGTTAGGGGGATTTCAAGTTTAAGACCAAGCTGGGCTTCATAGGGAGGCACTATCTTCTTTTTCTTCTTTTTCTTTTTCTTCTTCTTCTTCTTCTTCTTCTTCTTCTTCTTCTTCTTCTTCTTCTTCTTCTTCTTCTTCTTCTTCTTCTTCTTCTTCTCCTCCTCCTCCTCCTCCTCCTCCTCCTCCTCCTCCTCCTCCTCCT